AGGATAACTAACTCATCTATTTGTAATGAGAATTAAGGAGAACAGCATATCTGGAATAATCTAATGATAGTAGGCACCGCAAAATGTCAGCTACAGTCTAGTTCAGGCACTCCATTACAGTGTTCATTTAGGAAATAAAATCCCATCCCTACTCTACCCCAGCATCATATCATTCCTTTCTTGGAGGTTGTTTGCTCCCACCACATGTACCCCATCTCTCAACACTACACAGAAGGGGCAAATGTCTCCTGTTACAATCAACTTCAAAGCCTATGCCATGAGTTGTTTATTTCTGTTAACAGCTCCACCATTCTCCCTTTACCCAGGCTTGGATCTTGGAAATCAACCTGTTATGTCTCAAATCTTCTCTTGCTCATTTGTGAAGTCCTATTTATTCAACCTAAACAACAGCTTACAAGTTATCCCTCGTCTACATTTCCACTGCCTAATCCTTTCCAGTTCCCACACCTCTCACTGTATCATCCCAGGAGCATCACAATTCATTTCCCAAGTCAACAGAAGTGGTCTGCATATAAGTGTCAGACATGGCAAAATCATTCTTAAACAAACAAATATCTCCTTTTAAGACTACCCAATATCGTGTCATTACTCATTGAGTTAAGTCCTCGGCTTTGCATTCGAGTTGATTCCACATGACTCCAATCTACACTTGCAAACTAACTTCACACTACATTTCCTGGGTACTTGCTATGTTCCATATACTATGTTAAGCCCTGGAAATAAAAGGGGGAGAAACTCAACTCCTGTCCTCAAGAAGCTCAACAAACAAACAAAAAAATACCACACACAGGGCTTTCCTGGTGGCGCAGTGGTTAAGAATCCACCTGCCAATGCAGGGTACACAGGTTCGAGCCCTGGTCCGGGAAGATCCCACATGCCGCGGAGCAACTAAGCCCGTGCGCCACAACTGCTAAGCCTGCGCTGTAGAGCCTGTGCTCCACAAGAGAAGCCATCACAATGAGAGGCCCACGCACCACAAGGAAGAGTAGCCCCCGCTCGCCGCAACTAGAGAAAAGCGCGCACACAGCAGCCAAGACCCAACGCAGCCAAAAACAAATAAACAAAAAAAAAATTTAAAAAAAAATACCACAAAGTGAAGTGTTTTAAGAAAGGTCTGAACCGAAAGGTGTGAGCCCAGAGAGAATGCAAGAACTATTTGTGCCACAGTGGGCAGAAGGGATGAGGGTTGAGGCTGACTTCACCATTCACAAAGAGGAGAGACATTAAAGAAGAAAACTGAGGAGGGGAAAAGAAAGACACAAAAAGAGGATGTAGGATCTTTACCATTTCTCAACTGTTTTTCTCCAAAGCAGTGCTTTTAATCCAGAGGCAATTTTGCCCCCCAGCAAGCATTTGTCAATGTCTAAAAACCTTTTTGACTGTCATGCTTAGGGGAGAGGGGGTGCTATTTGCATGCAGTGGGTAAAGGAAAAATGCTTCTCTGACATCCTACAATACAAAGGACAGTCCCCCGCAGCAAAAAATTATCCAGCCCAAAAGGTCAATAGTGCTGGGGTTAAGCAACACTAGCCTAGAGCCACAAGAAACAGGAGTAAAGGAGGGCGTGGAAGTTGAGATAATTTCAGGATGTTTGAAAATACAGAGATGGCAAGGAAGGAGTATGAGTTATGCTGGGACCAACTTGCCCACCAAAACCAAACGGAGAGAATGCAAAACTGAACAGAGGGCAAAGTACCTAATAAACACTCCACATCTAGAGTCTCATGAATAGGGAGAGATCTGACTGTCAAGTCAAAACAATCAACTGTGAGAGGAATGAAGAAGAGGTGGGCAAAGAGGCTGAAGCAGAGGTTATCAGCACTTTCTGTTACACATGATCCAATTCAACAAATATTTATTGCACAGCTGCTACAAGATGTCATGGGGAAAACACAGAGGTGAGATAAATAAGTCATAATCCCTGTCTGCAAGAAGGCTGGATTTCATAGAGTCACAGATGTATAAAACAAACTTACAGTTACCAAGGAGGAAAGGACGGCGGGGGGGGGGGGGGGGGGAAAAAGGGGGGGGGGGGGGTAAAAAAAAAAAAAACCATATATAAAAAAGATAACTAATAAGAACCTACTGTATAGCACAGGGAACTCTACTCAATACTCTGTAATGACCTATGTGGGAAAAGAATCTAAAAAAAGAGTGTAGGGCTTCCCTGATGGTGCAGTGGTTGAGAGTCTGCTTGCCGATGCAGGGGACACGGGTTCGTGCCCCGGTCCGGGAGGAACCCACATGCCGCAGAGCGGCTGGGCCCATGAGCCATGGCCGCTGAGGCTGCGCGTCCGGAGCCTGTGCTCCGCAACGGGAGAGGCCACAACAGTGAGAGGCCCGCGTACCACAAAAAAATAAAGAGTATATATATGTATAAATGATTCACTTTGCTGTACACCTGAAACTAACACAACATTGTAAATCAACTATACTCCAATAAAAATTAATTTTAAAAAAAAGAAGACTGGATTTCAGTAGAGAGAATTAGGTAAGTATATATGTTATTATAATACAAGGAGAAATATAAGATACATGTCATAAGTGGAATACACAGGGTTTTGAGTACACACACCTTCCAAAGATTAGATGCGATAATAAAGGATAGGGCTTCCCTGGTGGCGCAGTGGTTGAGAGTCTGCCTGCTGATGCAGGGGACACGGGTTCGTGCCCCGGTCCGGGAGGATCCCACATGCCGCGGAGCGGCTGGGCCCGTGAGCCATGGCCGCTGAGCCTGCGCGTCCGGAGCCTGTGCTCCGCAGCGGGAGGGGCCACAACAGTGAGAGGCCCACGTACCGCAAAAAAAAAAAATAATAATAATAATAATAATAAAGGATAATTCTACTTAACACCTTCTTGCTCTTCCAGTGAAAGAAAAAAAAAAAATCACAGGACAGTAAATTATCTTTGCTTGTAAAGCTGTATATGTCTGGCATAATTAACCTAATTAACAATGTAAAATATTTGTTTCCAAATAGTCCAGTTGCTAACACTACTCTAACAAGGGAAAACAAGGATACTTTATATAGAGTATTCCCATAGAGGTTTCACTTTCCGTTGAGAGACCCATGAAAAAAAATCAGATCCAATACCCTAGAGTAAGTCCTGTACCACAGAGAGGCTCTTAGTTATGTTTGGTTACTTTTTTTTTAACTTTGCGTGGGCTTCATTTCTCTTGAGGTTAGAAAGCCATCCAGAGGATGGCTCTTTAAATATTCCCCTCAGAAGGAGACTCTAAGTCAACATGAGAAAATAGTTAGAGAAATCCCTAATGGTCCAGCCAACATACATTTTTCATAAAGTGATTATCCTCCTGCAGCCTCAGCTTCCTAAGCCTTTTCCCCTCCCGTAATTGTTTTCCTTGTAGGCCAGGCAACAATTACCACTGCTACAAGACTGAGGAGGTTCACGAGCAATATATTTTACAATACATAAGTGTACTGTCCCTGATATCTGGTGCTTTTATCACTAATTGCACTATAAAATGTGCTATTAAAACAGGGACAAACAAGATTGTAAAAATCACATAATGGACCATGACCACTTACAAAAGCCATTCATAAATGTTACTGTACCACTTATTTTTCTTTAATTTTCTAGTTATATAATTATTTTTCCAAATTTTTACTTCTAGGGGATTCCAACAAGAAAAAGAATAAATTTGCGAATTACAAAACATACATGTTTGCGCTTGAATGTATTGTTTTATAAGTTTGCTCAATATTAAAACTATATAGAACATCAGACAATGGCTATGAACACTGAATTCCTAGGGAACATCCACATGACCTCTTCAAAGAAATTATAGGCATGGCAAATGCATTTAAGCCTGATTTCCATTCAAACTTTAGAGCATGGAACAGAAAGCACGAAAAAATATCACAGAAGGATTTCACAATTCTAATCTATGAAAATACAACATAACAAAGCCAATAGAACATTAATATTTTGGGGAAAGACAGAATGATCAAATATTACTGCCAATTACTGGAGGATATGGGTCAGTGGAGCTGCCTACAGTATTTCGTATGTCATTAGCACTCGCTAATTCATGGGCAAATTTTCAAGTTTATAGATGACCCTTTCAGCCTCTTTGTTATTTATTCCACATCTCATCATCTAAAAAATAGGAATCAGAAGAGAGAATGAAAATAAAGGTATTTGGTTACCCATTCACAATTCTAATGAATTCTAAGATGGAAGTAGGAATTTTAGTAGTGATTCAGATAAAATACTGGGATCGTGTCTAGGATTCATTTATCCATTACCAGAGACAAACTAGTTCTAATAATACCACAGAACACAAATACCACAAACAAAATAGTGACTAGTCTCTACAAAACTAAACACAAGTAGCCAATTAACGAATTGGGGTTGACTGTTCTTCTTTTAGTAGGAAAATCTTCTGTTAACTGAAGAAGTAACTGATGCATTGATTTTAAGTGTCAGTAAGGAAAGTGTGATTGAGCTTCAGTCTTGCAGAAAAATGCCAGCACTTGTGTAACCTCACCATACTTACTGTCACATATTTTCTTAAATCTTTAAATGGCCCCACCTTAATAAAATCAGAACGTACTTTTAAAATAAAAGATAAGCCACAATTAGAAACATCCGAATTGTGCCTAAATTGTTACTTTTTCCTCCTGAAGATATTAGCTCGTGCTCAACCTTTCTACAGGAAGACCGTCAGAAAGTCAGAAAGACAGATTATACATAAAACGATTGCTCTAATTTCAGAAACTGAAGTCACTTAAGTCTGTTGGAATCATTTTAAAACAGTCTGAATGGTAAGAACAAGTCACTTTTTCAGACTGCCAAATACGTGAAATACTTAAAAACTGTGTTGGAAAACCTAAATAAAAACCAGAAGCTTATTTTTCACCCGTGTCATCTCCCAAAAATGATTCCCTAAGACGTGCCAAAGCTGCATTATTAAATGAAGTTGAATGGGGACACATGAGCCCACATACAAAACTTACTTTGTCAGATGCCTCAGAAGCCAAGAGGTTAGTTGCAAGAGTTTGTAGCTTATGATGGGCCATGTTTTTAAGAGCAGCAAGACTGCGTCGTGTCATAGCTTGTTTTAAGTTGACTGCTGGGTGACTAAGTGAGTCAACGGCAGCGGGAGCTGCTTCATCACAAGCATTCAGTATCTCTACTGCTGTGATCCCCATCACACACCGGTCCAGTGCACCTGGAAGACATATATATTCACAATCATTACACAACTCTGGAAGACTCTAAGTCATTTTTTAGGAAAGGAAAATGCATGGACATTTTTAAATGTAGGAATATGTTTTATCAGTGCCTCCCAGAAACATTTTCTTGTTTATTTCCTTCCTCTAATGATCTTCCATGTAGCATTACCTTAATCATTTCCTTTTCCGTAAGGCCCTACCACAACTTCCCAATAAACTCAAGTTTAGAGCCAAGATTTCAACAATTTCCTCCAGGCTTTTCTACTTTCTTTCCACTTCCAAGATGGTCTCCTTGATCATGCCACATCATTAGTCTATTACAAACAGCAATTTCTATAATTTTACCTTCCTCTAAGACTATATGTCAATCTTATAGAATCAATTCAACACTAGTTGAATTCAACTCTCCACCTACTCTGCATCTTACAATGAAGATGGACATGAATGATGAACATACTAAAAGATCCCCCTTTATTTCCTGACCACTGATCTTGGTGGGCCCTTAATAGTGACCACATTTCCACAGACCTTTCGTTTTCCTACTCTCCTAGTTCATTATTCCATACTTTCTTTCTCTTCCAATCCCACCATTCCATTTCCTGCCCTCATCTGGATGAAAGTTTTGTTTCCTATTTCATAGAGAAAGAAGCAATTAAAAAAGAAGTTCCACAGACTCCCACTACCACATCTCCAGTCACATTACTCAATAATTATGAATGAACTATCCAGGCTCCTACCTAACACACCTGTGGCTTACACCCCATCCTTCTCTTGTCTGCCCAAAGACACCATGTCAACAATTCTCCTCTTTCTCTTCATCAGTTTTCCCTGTCTACCAGATCATTCCCATCAGCTTATAAACATGCAATTATTTCACCTGTTTAAAACACACACACACACACACACACACACACAACCCAGGTGGGTTAACTAGGTATGTATCCCATTTTTCATAATCATACTCTAAAGAGCTGCCTATTTTTACCACCTCCAAATTTTTCTCCTCCCATCTTCCTTTAAACTTACTCAAATCAGATTTTACACCAAATGTGCACAGAACCTACTCTCCACATTGCTAAATCTAATAGCCAGTTCTCAGTCCTCATTTTACTGTCAGCAGCTCTCGATCTTCCTCTCCACTCCCTGAAACACATTTTGTCACTTGGCTTCCAGGCAACCATATCCTTTATTTTCTTCTTTTTTCTGGCAGGTCCATTTTAGTCTCCTTTGCTGTTTTTTTACATCACAGAAGCACATTTAAACCCTGGAGTGCCCCAACCATTATCAACCTACATTCCCTTGGTGATATATCCAGTGTCATGACTTTACATATCTTCTATATGCTAAGATTTCCCACATTTGTACCACCCACTCTGACTTCCCTCCTTTGAACTACAGACTCATATATACAGTTGACTCATATATACAGTTGTCCCTTGAATAACACAAGGATTAGGGGCAACCAACCTTCCATGCTGTTGAAAATCCACACGTAACTATATAGTCAGCTCACCGTATCCACAGTTATACCTGCAGATTCAACCAACTGCAGATCATGTAGTATTGTGGTATTTACTACCGAAAAAAATACCCAGGCAGTTCAAACCTGTGTTGTTCAAGCATCAACTGTACAATTTACAAATCAACATCTCTACTTGAATATCTAATATTCAACTCCACTTAATATATCCAAAATTGAATTCCTGATAGTCCCAAAATCTACTCCTCCTTCTGGTTTCTCAATATCTTAAAATGAATTGCATCCTTCAAGTTTCTCATGACTGAAACCCTGGAGTCATCTTTGGCCCATCTCATCCTTTTATGCTCCTCATCCAACTATCAGCAAATCCTGTTGGTTCTACCTTCAAAATATACTCATACTTCAACCACTTTTCACCAGCTCCAGTGCCATCACTCTAGTCTAATAATCCACCATTGTTTGTTGCCTATAGGGACAACAGCATACAAGCTAATCTCCCTGCTTCCACCCTAGAGCCACCTGTAGGCTATTCTGGAGAAAAGCAGGAAAATATAATCTATAATGAGCGGAAAAATAAAATCAATAAAAACCACTGAAACAGATCTTTTTTCTTAATTAGCAGACAAAACCATTAAAAGTTATTATAATTGTACTCCAGATGTTCAAAAAGTTTGAATAGAGAGACATGGGAGATATCCAAAATCAAACCTGTAGTTTTCAAAGATGAAAACTACAATGTCTGACATGAAAAATACACTCAATGGGAACAAAAGCATATTAGACATTGTAGAAGAAAAGCTCAGTAAACTTGAAAACATAGACTAGAAATTATAAAATGAGACACAGAAAAAAATAACATTAAAAATGAAAAAATAATCCTAGAGTTGTGGGCAATTTCAAGTAGCCTAATAGGCATATAACTGGAGTCTCCAAAGAGAGAAAAGAGGGGGGATATCAAACATCAAAAACATATTTGAATAAATAATGGCCAAAAGCTTCCAAATTTGTTGAGAACTATACACCCACTGATCCAAGAAGTACAACAAACCTTAAGCACAAGAAACATGCAGAAAACTATAACTAAATGGCTCAAAACTAATAATAAAGAGAAAAACTTTTAAAAGTCAGAAAAAAACAGACACAGCATATATAGAGGAACAAAGATAAGGATGACAGCAGATTTTTTTTACTGGAAATAATACTAGCAAGAAGATAGTGGAATATTGAAAGGAAAAAAACAAAAAACTATCCACCTAGAATTCTATACCCAGAAAAAAAAATCTTCAAAATGATGGTGAAATAAAAAATTTTTCAGATATACAGAAGCTGAAAGAATCACCCAAAGACATGCACTACAAGAAATATTAAATATTAGGCAAAAGGGAAATCATTCCAGATAGAAACCTGGATCTACACAAAGCAATGAAGAGCAACAGAAATGGCAACTACAGGGGAAAATATGTAAAATTTTGTTTCTATATTCAAATTTCCTTAAAAGATAATGTACTGTTTAAACAAATAAGCAAATAGAAAGAAATAATGTTCCAAATGAATGAAAACCGTGAGCAACAATATGGGTGGTACAAAAGACAAGAAGCGGTAGATGGTGACCCAATTATTCTTGATTAGAACTATTCTTCACACAGAGTAACATGTCTGTGTAAAAGAACAGTAAGAGATAAGACAAAGGTAGGAGTGTACCACACTGTGGAGGGCCTTTTCTTAAAGGCTACGTGAACTAAAATTACTTATGTTTTTTTCATTAAGACAGTGGCATGAACCAAGTGTGGTTGTTATTGTTTTACTTCCTATGATTAATTTGCCAACAGAGTACAGGATGGATTAGAAGGTAGAAATAGAGGACAGAGAAACCAATAAAGATAGCCTAGGTGTGAAAAAATATAGCCCGATATAAGAATAGTACACTGGAAAGAAAAAAGGGAGGGGAGGAGTACCTAATGGGAAGGACTTAGTAATTAACTGCACAGAGGACTTATGAGGAGGAAAGTAGAAAAGGTATCATATTTCCGCTCTAACAACCTCTTCCTTCAAAATTTCAAGGTGAACCCAAAGGGAAAAAAGAGACTGATTACACTTAGTTTTACTGAGATTTTAGAAAAGTACCCATTTTTTCTTAACTATTTCATCCTTTGTGTCTTTGCCTATCCTATCTTATGGTATTCTTGTAATAGAATGAAAAACAAAAACATAGAAGACACAGAAAAGTTGATGATGTAATGCCATATGCTGTGAAACAGAAACATAAAATCAAATCTCTATTGTATTAAACCCTGCAGGCGAAAGGTCAAATATGTGAAGAAAATACTTGCTACTAAACCCTTTATTAATAAAAAAAGACTGGACTGAAGTACCACCTCCTGATTCTTTTTGGTTATTTTAGTAACAAAACCATCAATATAAATAAATCAAAATTAATTTTTTTTGATATCCATGCTTTATATATGTTGCTTTATACATGTTGTGCCAGTAGACAAATATACATTAGTTCATATTCTCTGTTATATTTTATTGGATAACTAAGTTTTAAAAAATGATTCAAACACATATTTCATGAAGTTACTGCAAAAACAGGAATATTTAAGAAAACTTGGAGGGACAGAAAATAGATGAAAAGAAAAAAGATAACAAAGTAAATTGGTTAAGACTTCATACACTAATTTCTAATAATATTTGGCAATCACTACTGGTGTTTGCATTTGTACAAGAACACCTAATAACTGTCCCTCTAGGAATAGGTATATGATGAATCACTTTTATTATGTAGCAAAGATGATAAAAATGTGCAGATAAGAATGGTGTTAAGGCTTGGAAATAGTCATATAAGAAGAACATCTTGTAGCACCAGTCATTACTTTAAAGCATGCCACTGTTTCCCAAATAGACAAGATTTTGACCTTGTCATAGGCCTGTGAGAACACCACTGCATGCTTACTGGGAACATCAAATGTGAAGAATGGAGAGTTGATCCCTACAGAACATAACTCCATGGAGAAGCAGCCACTATCTAGGTCAGTTGACCCACTTTTAATAAGTTCCTAAATAGGAGTCAAGAGGTCCAGCCAGCCAAATCTTTTTGCTAGTTGTTTGACTAATTTTCTAACTACCCAGAGACGTGAAAGAATAATAATTTCCATGGCCTCTACAACACTATTTAGCACTATTGCATATAATTAAGATGGTACAATAAAAGAACAAAAGACTCTGGACCTCTACCTCTGTAATTAAGTTTTATATTACTAGCTTCAGCTTCATGTCATTAGGAAATAAACACTGAAAATAAAAACTACCCATTTGAAGGGAAAAACAACTAGAAGAAAATGTTGCATAAAAGCATAGTCAAGACATTTTTAAGTGTTTTTAAGCTAGAAACATCAGTATAATTCAAAATGGCAAACAGAAAACTGCATAAAATGCATGTGTAATTTTAATGTAATATGGCTTCACTTGTAAAAATACATTCCCAAAACACTAAGTAGAGGGGCAAAGTATCTTCTCAGAGTTTAAATACATTTCATACATCAAACCTTGGCCAAATCTGATTTATTTTGCTTCATTTCTTATTTATTTAATAAATAAATAATGTCAATACCTTCAGGATGTGCCTTACTGGCTCCTCAGGGACCTTTATATCACTAGCTAAAGCCTGAACAGCAAGAAGGAAAAAGAGTGTACACCTCCTATTATGGTTGAAGTCCAAAATTTATTCTGCTTCTCTATCTTTATCTTGATTTAAGAATGCCATTACTGACTGATCATTTACCAAAATCCTCCTGAAGGTCAGACGATAATTGTTAAATTGCAATATTATGTATTGGGCTTAATTATAATAAACTGATTATAAAAATAACATCCTCCAGTACACATACAGTCAGGAGCTATTTGTCATTTCCTACTAGGGAAACTACTGAAAAAGTAACTTTGTCTTCCAGTAAGGTCTTGTTTGTAAAGAATTTCAAATTCTTTGTAGATGTATTTAAAGTATCTGAAGTAGTCAAGTATCATATACTTAAGCACCTAAGAAATTCAGGAAAATGATACTCTTCCTTTATCATATGAATTTAATGTTTTAAGTCCTACACATGTTTACCATACTCTTGTATTTAAAATATATCAATTGTTAATTTAATATGTATAGTATTTTAAAATAGTGTTTTATAACTATCATCACTATAACTTACTTTCTTTAACACTAATTCTCATAGAAAATATTTCTTTGTAAGTAAGGTCATATCCCCAAGCTCAATAAAGTAACAAGTTAAGCATATTTGTTAAATAACAATAATAGGAAATATACACATATGCAAGTATACACACAAACTTAAAGTACGCAGACATACATGGATACACATTTACATTACATCTACTAGACACAAGGTAAATATTCTCTCATTTTACTCTCCCAGAAACACTATAAAACAGGAACTATTATTATCTTTATTTTACAGATGAGTAAATTGAGAGACTTGCCATAAATCACAGTGCTATCAAATGGTTGATCTTAAAGATTTTTTTCTTTTTTGATGTGGACCATTTTTAAAGTCTTTATTGAATTTGTCACAATACCGTTTCTGCTTTATGTTTTGGTTCCTCAGCCATGAGGCATGTGGGATCCCAGCTCCCCGACCAGGGATGGAACCCACACCCCCTGCACTGGAAGGCGAAGTCTTAACCACTGGACCAACAGGGAAGGCCCTCAAATGGTTGATCTTAAATTCAAACCAAGGAGTCTGACTCCAGAGCCCAAGACAAACTCTGTATGTAGTTGACCTTGAACAACACAGGTGTGTACTGCACGGGTCCACATACACACAGATTTTTTTCAACGGTAAATACTACAGTACCACAAAATCCACGGTCATTTGAATCCAAGGATGGAAAATGTCGGATATGGAGGAAACATGGGAATGGAGGGCCGCCTTTAAGTTATACACGGTTTTTCAACTATGCAGAAGGTGAGTGCCCTAACCCTCACATTGTTCAAGGGTCAACTGTATTTAGTTTGTAGGGTGGACCAAACCAGCAAACATGAAACAGTGCTGCTCAGCAGACAGGATAAAACAAAAAGAAACACAAAAGTAAGATACAAAATTATACATGTAATATGACAGCAATTCTGTTTTTAAAAATGCACAGAAATGAGACTAAAGGGAAATATGCCAAAATTCACCACTGAGTAATGGGATTTGAGTTCATCTTTCTTTTCTAACACTTTTGTGCTTTCAAAATTTGACAAAAAAAGTAAGAAACTCTTTTACAATCAGACGAGAAAAAGAAATGTTAAACACAAAAGCAAAGAAGTTTGACACTCTTCAAGAACGCTTCCTCTTGTCAAAATTGCCTACGTAGTACCAGATAAAACCAGGACTATAAATGAAAGATAGCTGAAGATTATGGCTACTTGCTCCAAAAAGACCTAGGAACACTCCCTCCTGCACCACAGCACAAGCAAAAAAATATATATACGCTGATTTCAAAAAGGACTATTTAAAAACAAAAATGAAAAAAGCTTCATGAAGAAAAAAATAGTAGAAATATTATATAGCACAATTAGGAATGTAAAGAAAGGTTTTAATCACTGATAGATGATGACTCAGGATAGTAAAACTAGAATAAGCTGTGTTTTTAAAAGCCCAAACTAATAAACATTTAGTTACATACTTTAAAATTTCTCAGGGAAAACCATAAGATTCTGTGTATAAATCTTATATATCATGCCCTATACCTTTAAGCTAAACATTACTTGTTCTGTATTATGCCACATACATAAAATTTCTGAACCTTGAAATTTTAAATGTTCTCTCTAGAACTTAAAACTTTCATTTCAATTACCTCCTTCTATTAACGGCCCTGTATGGTTTTTCTGCTTTTCAAACAGAAGATAATTTTATCTTTTTCCACTGTTTCTGAACTTGAGACAAAAATGGTTCCTTGATCTTACAATTTGCCTCATGAATTATATAGAAATCACTTACTTGTCTGGTGTCTGCATGCCTGTCCTAATCTATATACTGTCATCAACCACATTCCTCTAAAGATCAGTGAACTACTCTACAAGTGTTCCAGATAGTACAACAAATAAGAGGACATCTAAATATTTCTTTGTTGATAATGATAAGAACACTTATAAAAAGCAGTGGTGAGAAATAAAAGTAGCAAACTTTTGACATCTCAGGGGTTTTTTCCTCATATAAAAGATTTTTCATTTAGGAAGTCAAATATACACATTTAATTTTCTAGTCTCTCTCAACATTCTTCTTACCGGTATCCATTTGCCAGACATACACGGAGCCGTCTGAACATCCCACTACTAGGTAATCGTCAGAAGGCCTCCACTTGATTACTTGAATGGGGAAAAGATGACGAGATGCCAGCATAATGCATTTTTTCTCTCGCAAACTTAGAAGTCCTACCGAGTGGTCACTGGCTACAGAGCAGATGCAGTGCTGCACTCTTGCCTGTAAAGAAGAATAAATCTTAATTACACTCAGATTAAATTCAGAAGAAAATGGATCTTGTCCTCAAATCAAAATTAATTATACATTCACTGCTGCTGAAAACTAACCATGATATTAGAATGTGTTGACAATTTTCTTCTTTTATATTATACATAAAACGCCTAGTTCAATCATCACAACACTTTGAAAAATACTAAATTAACACTAGATTAAAGAAGAGAAAGACGCCTAGGAAAATCTGCTGTTCAAATTTGAAGATGACCTTACTAAAAATAATTGCTATATATGAACAGGCAAAGCTGGAAAAAAATTGATCTGTTATTATGTGTTCCCTTTCCACTGTCTGAACTTCCCTTTGCTAGCAGCTAGAGCTGCTTTCTGCAGTGCTTCTTTCTGTTTGTGACTCTATCATTTAGACCCATGCCCTTCCCTGCTCCTTTGCTCAGAAACAATACCCTCAAGGTCCCTCTGCCACAGTCATTTCTTAAGAGCCACTGATAGTTTGTATTACCTGTAGATGTGTTTCACAGCTTCTGTCTCTAATGCCAGCAGGCACACCACCTCAGCTAACATACAAGAGCCCAATAAACATCCTGCTCTGTACTTCCTGCTCATCTCTAGTTTGCGCCCTTTCATTCCTTTTTAGAACAAGATGGAATATAATAGAAATAATCAAAGATGGTAAAGATTTTCACTAGCATCAGAGAACTGAATCCATAACCTAGAGAATTAAAAATTAACGTCTTTATAGGTTTGGAAGACAATTTACAAGCAGCTTAAAACTTTGTAGTGATTTATTAGACTGTGCTTCCGGTTCACACTGAGGTGAAACCATATGAAAACAGCCATCTGAAGCTCCGTATTGTGTAAATTGTGGCTATTTACTGAGGATGAGGCCCACGGCACCACATACATATTATCCCTTCTGTGGGATCCAGAGAAGAAACTTCTCAAATGTCACCCAGCTGGGCTTTGCCTAAGCAGACGTTTTTTAGCTAAAGAATGATGTATCTCCCTGATTGGTCCATCTCAGTGGGAAATGTTGACAGGTATCAGATGAAAAAGAGTGGGGCGGGGTGGGGGGTGCGTGTGTGTGTGACCACATGTGCATGGGAAACACGTTACAGTTGTTTTTGTCCATAGAACTTCTAAGAAACTTTAACTTGCTAACATGAATATAATTTCATTTGACCATCATAATCTTTTTTTTTGTAACATCTTTATTGGAGTATAATTGCTTTACAATGGTGTGTTAGTTGCTGCTGTATAACAAAGTGTATCAGCTACATATACATATATCCCCATATCTCCTCCCTCTTACATCTCCCTCCCACCCTCCCTATCCCATCCCTGTTCTATGCGGCTGCTTCCCACTAGCTGTCTATGTTACACTTGGTAGTGTATATATGTCGATGCTACTCTCTCACTTCGTCCCAGCTTACCCTTCCCCCTCTCCGTGTCCTCAAGTCCATTCTCTACATCTGCATCTTTATTCCTGTCTAGGGCAGGACAGGAATAAAGACCATCATAATCTTATAAGACGTAGTTTTTGAGGAACAGACTTTGGGGAAAGCTGCTACAATGGATTCCTTCAATGTTTTGGACACTAAGAAACTTAGGACTGAATTTTCTATCCATGACAGTGGGGTGTGTGGGCATACATTTCTGAATGTGGACTCTAGGTGGTCTCGTCTACTTTTTCTTTCATTTTCTCTTCACCATGATTTAGCTTTATTTTTAACTAACTGAATAATGTTTATTTTTGTAAACAAACTAAAATCAATTTTTGAATGAGGCAGAGCATTAATTTTAAAAAAGAGAGTCAGATTTAACTATTTACTTTGTTCTTAAGTTCAGGTGTTTTAATCTTTGGTTCTGTTAGCTTTACTTGTACGTTTTCTTTCATAATGATTTAAAAACTATAATCAGCATAGTAGGTATTTATTAATTTTAAAAGTTAAGAAAACTAAGTTCAGGAAGATCATGTTATAAACTTTTACTAAAACAACATATAGAATTTTCTTAAGCATTTGTTAAGCTTATTTATTTCATGCTCCCTGATAAGCATTCAATGGAAACATAAAACATGATTTCTTTCTTTAAAAAGACATTAAGGACTGAGGAGTAGCTGACTATGGCATGCAAAACTTTGCTTTGTAATTAAGCAATAAGTCAAAATAAAGTGGCAAACTACAAAAATATCATTTAAATATAGGCAATGTTAGAATAAAACGTGGCAGAAATATAACATGATGCCTTTATTTTCAGTTATTATACTTCACACCACATAAAATACTTTTGAGTGGGCTTCTCTGGTGGCGCAGTGGTTAAGAATCCGCCTGCCAATACAGGGGACACGGGTTCAAGCCCTGGTCCGGGAAGATCCCACATGCTGCGGAGCAACTAAGCCCATGCCATGCGCCACAACTACTGAGGCTACACTCTAGAGCCTGAGAGCCACAACTACTGAGCCCGCATGCCACAACTACTGAAGCCCGCGTGCCACAACTACTGAAGCCCACACGCCTAGAGCCCGTGCTCCACAACAAGAGAAGCCACTGCAATGAGAAGCCTGCACACCTCTACGAAGAGTAGCCCACGCTCACTGCAACTAGAGAAAGCCTGTGTGCAGCAACAAAGACCCAACACAGCCAAAAATAAATAAATATTAAAATAAATAAAAATATTTTTGAGTTTCACCAGATGTACGTTGCTAAGCAAAGATAACAGACAGTCTAATACAATGGAGGCTTTGCATTTCTACAGATAATCATTAATACTGACTTTGTATTTATCATATATATCCATCACTCAATATACAAAAAAGGATGATTGCTACGTTAATGGTTAACTATTTTCTATTTTCCAACACGAGTCTGCTAAAAAAATGGTCATTTTATTTATTTTTCTCATCAGAGAAATAAATCTAATAGTAATCTTTTTCTCTGTGTATGAGTCACTAAAAAGAATGAGTCCTAAACGGCATTCCTTTTCATCTATTCACATCTTTTAATCAGGCACTGATCTGCCACAGTACTCACTCCTGTCACTACTTTTGATTCTGCTACTATGACTCACAAGCTCTCTGAAATCTTTAAAATGAGTTAATCCTTAATTAATGCGGTAGACCTAACTAGTCAACTTGCCAGTCCCCAAGTTGACAATCATTTCATTAATGTTCACATAATTCTTGTCATTCCTTTTCATAGAGAAAACGAGGCATGAGTCAGGGTGAAGTTTGTTTGTTTTTAAAAGGTGATTTTTTTACCAATCTTCTTTACTATGTTTGGTGTTTTTCAAATTATGTTCTGCTGGTAGATCTCAACACCTGAGGTGACAACAAAACTACTGAGAAGCACTGACCCACGCATTCTCTCTCTGCCAAATACCTCATACTGCAGTTTATAACCTACCAGAGAGAGGACTGCAGACTTAAGCAAACAAAAAAGGCTTCCCTATTCCCACGAGGAACTTGACCTCCGGCATCAACTCCTCATAAGTTTCGCCGTCAGAACTTTCACCCTTGCCATTTATATAATTTTTTAAAGTTCAAGAAAATGCAATCCAACCTCATAAAAAGATTTAAAACCTCTACTTCATGTTATCTCTCTTATTAGTAAAAACAAAGAACATACAAAGCTAATATTAAATAATATTATAGGGTGTATCTTAAACAGTAGATTATGGGATGTAATTTTCTGAAGGAAAAAATGACTGAATTCCAAAAATTCTAGCTTTTCAGTCCCACATGATGCGTTCTCTTCTAACATATATATCTACATCAATATCTTTTAAAGAATAGTTCTGTTCTTCATTCGTATAGTGCAATAATGATGAAAACTGACAAATGACATGCCTCATCCACAAAAAAATGTTTGGCCCCAAACAAAAATGTTATACCTTCCATGTAAATAAAAATAAGCATCTGAAGAGTTAAGTCTAGCTTTACTGTAATGAACAACAGTCTGGAAATAGCCAAAATAATCAAGACTGAAAACAAACAAAAAAAATCAATATTACTAAGTCCAAGAAGGCACAGTTATTAGAGGTACTTAACTCACAAGAAAAGATGGTTCTCTGCTTTTTAAATATGGATTTAAATAAATCTAATTTTTCTTCTTTCAAGAAACTGCTAGTCCAACTCGTGTGAAGAAAACTGGCCTAGAGTAGAAATGGCCCAATACAGTAAATCCTCATTAATTTTGATTCCCCTAATTAATTCTGAGTTGATGGTTACCTTCACAGGCTCTGTGAAAACAAATTAATGGTATAAACAAAGCAAATGTCTAGCTTATTTAAATGTAAAAGGGAAAAAGACCATTCTCAAGCACCACTTTGGTATTAATTTTAATTCAAACAATGAACAGAGTAATGATAAATAATTCTCAGCTACCTGTTAAATGAAAGCACTTAAAAGATTTGCTGAAACACAATTAACTTGGTTTCTCCTTATCTGCGCTCAAAACTATTGAAGAAGCACTTCTTAAAGAATATTAGATAACACCAATCTCTCTTTGATTTAGATGCAGCTTCCTCACAAATGAGTTGAATTAGCATAATTCTTTTATTATTAAATTATTAAATTCTAGACATCTTGGTTACTGAACACTTACTTCACCCACAATAACTGATTCTATAATTTGATTAATTCCATTCTACTTCGCTTTCTTCCATCTCAACCTGAAAAAGTTACCTAAACATGACTTAACATTGAGGATATTTTTATAAGACATTTAAATTGTGTAATTAGAATAATAATACAAGAAATAAAAAATGTGAACCTCATATCTTTAACTAAACTATCTGAAAAGTATTTATGTTCCAAACTTGTTCAATCACACACTTATTCATTTAAAAAACTCTAATATATTCTCACTATATGTATATTTATACATTGTATATGTACTTTGTGCCAATATATCATGTACATTGTAAAACATGCACAGAATATATACTCTAAAAGGATGACTCAGTTTAAATAAACAAATTTAAGATAAAAT